TAATTATATATATATATATATATATATATATATATATATATATATATATATATATATATATATATATATATATATATATATATATATATATATATATATATATATATATATATATATATATATATACTTACATATTATTATTATATACATAGTGGTCTCGTTAATCTAACTCAATTGAGAGGGTCATTCTATTTAATCAGCTTTCAATGGAGATATTGGGTAATTGGTTCCAGCTCACCGAAAATTATTTACAAAGTAAAAAATAATGCAGTAAAGTACACTACTTTGAGGTGTGTATGTAGAAGGGTCCTGGTGATGATGATGATGGGAATTAGAAGTGTGGAAGAGAAATCACCCCATGCTTGATGCCAATATTTCACCCAAATTTTAAGTTCACTGGTGTAATTCAAGATTATTTTCTTTAAATCAACACTGGAGGCGCTGTTGCTAGGCCACTGTAGGATGCCACCTCTGGGAGGCTCCACATTGTCTCACTGTAGTGCTTATAGACCACATTTTTGGTTTTGCCATTAGCAGCAAGTATGTACAGATTTGCCAGTTTCTCCTCTGGAGCGTCCAACATAGATCTGTCCATGAGAGAAACAAGGAACACCAGGTTTAAGCCAACCATCTTTAGGGACTGTCCCTGCTGTAGATGGTCATGGCAAAGCTCACTTTAACCGGGAACTGAAGTTGCTTGAACTCAAACGGCAGGTCAGTGGTGATGAGAGGTATCCTGGTATAAAAACTTCCTTCCTTTAGCTTTTCCTGTCAGTATTGTAGCTTCCAGTACATGTGGCATCATGTTCTTCTTGTGAGTGATTCGTCTCTCATTTTGAGTATGATGTCTCGTTTCTCAAACTCTTGACCGACAATCAGGATGGCTACTTCATCAACTACAGGAGCATTGAATCTTCTTTCATGTTCTCCTTAGGGTCGTGGTCGCTTTGATCCTGACTTTGTACTCATCAGAGGCATGTTTCAGGGCATTTTTAATGACTGTACATACGGTTGCGCTTATGCAGCATTTCTTGGATGGATAGGACAATGTCATGTCTGACACCTTGAATATTGCCACACCTGATAGTAGTCTGCTTTCATGATCTCCCATGAAGTAGATTTGGAGGAACTTTACCTGCTCATCTTCCAGTGGTGAGGATCCTGCTTTGTGATAGACTTGACCCTGGACTTTGAATGTTGGTATGTATCCATGCTCATGAACTACTCTTTTACTCCAAAGGACATCATCTGGAAGCATGAATTGTACTTCAGTATATTTTCCAAGAAGTGTTTTGACTCTGGTGTGTTCCAGCATGAGAGTCTTCAATGGTTGTGGTGGTTTTCCCAATCAGTCAGATTTCTCCTATGAGAGCAGCACAGTCCAGCAGATTCTCCTTTATACTTTTTTGCACTGCAGTGTTCATTTCTTATCCATGTTGCCAGTGACAACAGAGGGATATTCTTTTCATATTCTATCTCATTGTCATAGTTAAATGCTGCTCTTTCAAGTGAATGCCACTGTGCATTCTTTCCTAGAATTCTGGATCCCGCAACTCTCTGTCTATTAGCATTCAAACGAATTTCATGCGCTTGATCATTTTCTAGAGAAGACCTTTCTGCTGTTTGCTATCTGTCAGCATTAAGATGGGATTCCCTTTCCTGATCTGTTTCCAGACCGACTGTCCGCTGTTCGCTTTCTGTTAGTATTAAGACGGATTCCCTTTTCCTGATCTGTTTCCTAGACCGACTGTCCGCTTTCGCTCAGGCGGCTTCATCCGCTAGCGCAGAAGGACGCCACTCGAGGCTCCACATTGTCTCACTGTTCAGTCCCCAAAACTTTTCTTCCATCAATAGTTCATTAACGGTGTATGTAAGTTCCATCATATTTTTCACTACAACGCAAAAGTATATTTTTTTGCATTAAACTGTTATTATTTTATTGTCT